CACACAGGCAGCAAACACTATAAGCAGTAAAATTTCACATGCGGTGGGTATACTGCGCGATCATTCGAGCGCTTCAGAAATTCTGCACGTACTCATATGCCTAGGTAAATTAATGTAAAATTTTACTCATCCATTTCTGCGCGACCTTAAAGTCATTTTTAATGTCTAAAAATTTATAATTAAATATATAAACTTGTCAGTTGATAATTAATTTTTACAAACGTTGCCAGATCGAATTTCTCGGAATGTGCCTCACATCTTAATGAATCAGTCGGACTTCATATCAACGTTTTGTTATGGCGTCATGGCACAGACAATACGCAGCGAAGTCGACAAGCAATTGATTCGCTATTGCAGTCGAATTATTTTGAATTTGGCGCGTTACAATAGTACTACTGCAAATACTTTCCAGGAGAGCGGTCTTGTCACTATAGCTCAGATGCTGCTGCGCTGGTGTGACAAGGATAGTGAAATATTCAATACTTTATGTACGCTAATTTGGCTATTTGCACATTGTCCCTACAAGCGCCACGTAAGTTTGCTACTCATGACGTTTATTTCGAGCATTCCTATACAATTGTTTACCATCTTTTTCTTTTAATGTTCCACACAGATAATTCGGGAGTATATGACGACTCCTGAATCATTATATGTGGTGCGGGAGACTAAAAAACTTGTTGCGCGTAAAGAGCGCATGAATCAAAATGTACGCAAGCCTGTTGCACCGTCACGTGCTCCCAAACAGCAACTATTCCGCAGTCGTGCGTTACCTAGCCTCGAACCCGACTACGGCGTCATACATAATAAGCCGTATACGTTTGTATCGTCGATATTTGCATTTGATATGCTGCTAGCTGAACTGGAAATTGAAGTCAATTAAATGTATTTCTTTTATTGTTTTCTTTGTTTTAGTGTATATGATTAACACATTCATTTTTTTATCCGTTGTATGTAAGAATTTCCGTAACAAGAATTTTCATATTTGATTTGTTTTCTATACCAGATACGAGAGTTTTCCAAAACACATGGATACAAAGCATTATAAGATGTTTGTGTTCAAAAATGCATGAAACCACAGCATCAGTCTCTTTTATTTCTACACTATAATTGGTGGAAATGCCTTATTTGCGCAATTAAGTTCCAATGCGGCATTTAACCGTGGTTGCGCATATTGGTCATTTCCTTAAATTATAGTTTCGAAATAAAAGAGACTGACGCTTTGGCTTGATGCATTTTTGAACACAGACTTCTAACGCTTTCTATCGATTGTATTGATGCGTTCTGGAATATAGCCATACTATCAGAAGACTATCCGATATACATATATATCAAATAGACTAGTTGGCTGTACAATACTTTTTGTCGGCTACGACTATGATAACGTTAATTTATCCACTGTAATTAATTGCCGTAAATGTTAGTTAAAATTTTTTTATTTAAATAAACGTTAAGGATATAATTTTTGCATGGTAAACTAATTTCTTGCACTTGTACACAGACGAATGCTAACTTTGTACCCATAACCAGCGTAAGCGGAAAGATTAAGTAAGCTTGGGTCAACCGTATGCTTCTTTTCAAAGCAGAAGAAATGATACCCACTTCAACCAGAAATTCATTTGAATCCTTAGATGGATATTGACAAGCGTTGAGTGATCAAAAGACTACAAACTGCAGAAAATATATTCGCCTCTTACTTTTACTAGTGGTGAAGCCTGAATAGTAATCGAGAAGTAGTAAAGTCATTTACCACAAGCACAATAAGTTAAATAGCCCATTTTTTCTGGGCGAAACACAAATTTCAAAATCGCCATATATACATACATACATATATATGTATATACAAACTAAAAAAAAATAAAAAATAAAATTTGTTTTTTATAAAATACAAAGCACTGAGAGTGTTGGCACATACGGTAGAAAACGAAGTGAACGCGAAGCTTGAGAGAGCGTTCCCACTACAGTCGGGTCTACGTAACCGGAACGACCCAGATTTATATTTGGCTAAGGACTGTCACTCCAGCAACACTCCCCAAACAAGGGCGATGAAGACGTGGCTGAAGGCGAATTGCTTGCAATTAACATGATACACAGCATCTAAAACATAAATTGTGAAATCTTTCGAGGATTTGTGTTTATAGTGTTGGTGTAATAAAATTAAAAGTCTACCGGCAATAGCGGTGAAAAAAATAAAACTATGGCGTCCTCGCTTTCGAGGGCAAATAGATAACGGGGAAACTATCAGATAACAGTAGTCCGTTATTGGTGTCAGTTTAATCCTATTAATTC